ATTTAAAGGTAAGTAAGGTACATACGAAGAAGGTATGAGATGCCCAAGTACAGAAGGTTACGAATAATCCAGCTATCAGATAGAGGGCTGGAAGCATCGTAATTCTGTATCAAGATATGATAGTGTTGTCATCAGTGGCATATCTTCCAGCCTATGGTTTCAAGGTACAGAGAGGTCTAATTAAGAGAGTAAAGAATAGTTAGAGACGATATGATGTCTCGCTTGAGGTTGTAGAATAATATAAGAAAATCTATGGTGCTAGCAAGTTAAAGGAAGATTGCGAGTATTATAAATAGATATATGTAGGCCGCAAGCTAAAGTATGATAGAGTGACAAGGTTTAGGAAGACATGAGTAAGGATAAGAAAAAGTGAGTAAGAAGGTGACGAGAATAGGTAATTCCTCGGGATTAAACCCATCACAACAAGAGAGCTGATGTTTTCCATAAGTTATAAAAAGCTCAGTATAGCATGAGTGAACTCAGAGGAGTTTAATACTAGGAGAATTTAGAAGAGCTGTAATGCTGCCCTAGTGGTAGAATTAAGGGTGTAATTGTGATAAATAAGAGGATGACGTTTAGGCCTTTGATTGGGTAATGATCCAAAGAAAAGGGATTTCATGAATTGTAAAGGATTAAAATACCCCATAAGGTGAATCACATTGGGATGCTATGAAATACGATTATTGAAGTATAGTATTGACCCTAAGTGGATCACGCAAATAACTCCAGATGTTCCCCGATGAGACGTGAGCCCTAGTGACAATATATTACATAAGAGGTTTCAAGTGATCAGTGTGAGATTATAGGTCAACATTAAGGTAAATCAACAATAAGCTGATAAAAGTTCCAAAGTATGAGATGATATTAGGCCATCATTCTTAAGATGAACAGTAATGAGGAAGAACTAAAGGACTTAGATTTATACATATAGGATAAGCAACGGGAGAGTAACCTGGAGTTGGGTAGCAGACCTTGGCCATAATAAATCAAAGTGAGTGTTATGGTATAGTATAAGATACCTATACATAGTAAAGACATAAGTATAGCTAACCGAGGCTATGAAACAAGATATAGCAATAGTCGTAAGTTTGACAGTACCCGAGCGAAAAACTTCAGTACACATATAGAATCCTAGAGGGACATCTTGTCATAGTTATGCATATGTTTACAGAGTTAGGCCTAGAGATTGGCTAAAATCTGAAGGAGAAAGGAGATAAGAGTCACATAGGCGCACATATAAGGACAAAGTCATACAGGCTGCATGACATAAGATAGCAACAGTTAAGACATTGGAAGAATTCTGACCACAAGTCTTGGTGTGACAAAGAGGCCTAAAGTGGGAATGCCTTGGCATTTGGGTTTATTCACAAATCAGTTGCCTAGATGGAAAGGGACGCAGCAGAGTATTTGCTAGAACTATAGGTTATGAGACTGATAAATGCATCATTCAACATTCGAGGACGAATGTTCCAAAGGGGGGAATGATGTTACAACCCGTATCATCGTACGAAAGAGTATTCATAAGTCAATTAATGTAAGTTCAGAAATAAGATCATCTCTGAGAGTACATAAAGTAAGTTAATAATGTTACCTTGTGGGTTACAAATTTTAAGATCATTGATAACAAGTACCGAGAGGGTTGAAAGGCTTAGAAGCTAAAAATATTGATGAAAAATAAGTTTCGTCGAAAGTCGATAAGTTTGGAATGTTATAAAATGCACTTCGGGGTAAGGCTAGGATTATTAACTTGATAATGAGGATATGTAATGAGTTATATTAGGCTTATGATAGCCGTATGTTACGTTTTGAAGTCAATTCAATTGTGGAAAAAAAGTTGGCAAAGGTCATCACAAGTTACATTCATAAATGTGCTGAAAATTAGTCCAAATGTATAAGAGTTTTTCTCCCAATATACTTGGAATTACGGGATGATACATATATAAAGTTTAAGATCTATGAGTCTAGTTTCTAACTCATTAAACTATTCATCGATACAACATTTAAGTGAGAGATATTTGCAGTTTTGCAAGACTGCGCAGACCGCATAGGTGACAAGTAGGCGGGTCAATGAAGCTATTTTAGCAATACATTTCATGTGTTATATGAGATATTTTTGGTACATATTATATACCAAATTGAAGGTCTTGAAATTTAGTTTCTAATGCTCTTAACCATTTATTCATATGGAATTTTAATAAAAAGAAATAAGCATCGGAAGAAGAGCCAATAATAGGGTGCCAAGCTAGTACATTTTTGACTTTTCAATAATGGATATATATAGGCTTTATGTAATTTCATTCTTCACTTTTCCACATACCACGACCAGAATAATACCCCTAAACGTATCCTCAATCTCTCTACAAGGGTTTTCAAGAATATTAACATCTTGTGTACAAAATCAAGAAGCGATAACCCTAGAACGATCCTTACGACGCAAGTATCGCTATATCGCCTCTCTTTTTCTTTGTAATTGAGTTTTGGAAGGTACTTAATAGTTAAGAAAATTTCAAATTTCTGTATTTAAGCTTTAAATATCAAGGAAGGTTGATAAATTTTGTTTCCTAATAGTTAGAACTCACGGGACGATGATCGGAAGCTGTGAGTTTTAGTTATTCGACTTGTGGTGGACTGTTTTGTGGGCCGTTTTATGTTGCTTTTGGGCTGTCTAGTTTTCTATATTTTAATGGCATTTTTTAGGATAAATTATATGGATAAACACCACATAATGGCAAAATAGTGGGTTAATCGTTCTTTGTAACATTTTCGGGGTGTTTGACACTACTATAGTTGTCGTTCTGGGGATGAAGTGATTGGAGTGTGTTGTGCTATCATAAGATAAATATAATATAGATTTCTACTTGCATCCATTGTAGTAGGTACTTATATTGTGTTCTTAAGGTTATCTTGACATTGCTTAAGTTAAATAGATGGGCTAGACATGAACTAGTGAATAATGTTGCTTTAGGATAATTGGAGTAGTAGATTATTTTATTTGTTATAAATATATGATATAAGGCTGGAATCATTGATGAATGAATTCATTATAATATTAATGATACTATTGATTTAAAGTAAGAAGTCTATGAGGGGTGATATGGGGTATACGAATTCCAATTGGATCTTGCCACTCGTCGTGAAGTAGTTGTTACTTGTTGTTGCTTATTAGTGTCTTGTTATTGATAATTTTGTAGCGCTTGGTCTCTATGGTCATTGTTTTTGGTATATGGTATTGGAGGAGGCTCTTGTTACAGGGGAGATGCTGCCCAAATTTACATAAACAATCTACTAGTTTAAATTGCGGACTTCTCCTATACTCAACACTGATTTTGAATCTCCTTATGCTATGGTAGATTGAATTCAGTTGTTTGAAGAATTTTTTGAAAGGAATTAAGAACTCAATGAAGTTAAGGTATGTTAAGGATAAATGTTTCCTTCATTCTGGCATGATCTAGTAACTACATATGTCTGATAACAAAACATAAAGAGAAGTTCATATTCCTGAATTTATGTACGTTTGTCCTAGTCTAATAAGTTACAGCAGTCTCCCATATCAGGACTTCATATTAAATTTAGTATTTTCTTCTTTCAGCCAATAGAGCAGAGAGTCTACATATATAAAATATTATAATTTTTCACCACCACCGAGTTATAATCGATGGACATGCCCATATTGGGCAACCACAGATCAGATGGAAAGTTATTTATCGAGCCTAATGTGGCCGAGCACCTATGAACAAGCCCAGAATGGCCGAGATACAGAGCCTAGTATGGCATAGTGCCTATGAGCGAGCCTACTACGGTAAAGCAGTAACACATACCAAGCCTTATTAGGATGGAAAACTATTTTACTTATTATATTGAGAGGGTTGAGTCAATATCAGTAGGTAAGCATATCTTTAGATTATCTTTGACTCCTAGTTACTTTCAGTTAGTATATTATCAGTTAAGTTTCAGCTTTCAGTTATTCTGTTGCTTTACATACTCGGTACATTATTTCTTACTGACGTCACTTTTGCCGGAAACGCTACATTTCATGCTTGCAGGTCCTGATTGACAGTTGGACAGACCCTCATAGCAAATAGAGTCAAACATCAGCTTGGTTGGTAAGCTCCCCTTCCTTGGAGTTGGCAGGTCTAGACCTTGGAGTCCATTTTATGTATACATGTTTGATGGTAGGTGGAGGCCCTACCCGACCATGATACACTTCAGCTATCTCTAGAGGCTTGTAGACAAGTCCTGTATAGTTTGTATATCAGTAGATGTTCATGTCAATCTAGTCAGCCTGCACAGTTATATATATATATATATATGAGCTTTTGGGTATATTTACCCCTCAAATGAGAGAGACGATATTTTCAGATGATTCAGAATATGGCCTTATCAGCCTAAGTTGAGGGTTACCCCTCTAGAGTTCACAGTTGCAGAGTGTTACATTCGAGCTGAGTATGGCACCGTGTGCCAGCCATGCCTTTTCAGGTTTGAGGTGTGACAAAATTGGCCCAAATAATGTCGGATTCTATGCCCATGCACTTTGAAGATTCTAAGTCCATCCCTAGATTCTTAATCCACGACACCAAAAGAGTAAACATGCATAATCTTGAATGGCCCCGACCATTTTGATTCAACTTATTTGGGAACAACTTAAAGCTTGAATTGTGGAGAATAACCAAGAGCTCAGGGTGAAATTCCCTTTTGTTGATCTTCTTGCCATGGAGGAATTTCATTCTTTACTTATACAAAAAATCACTCTCATATACCTGAAACTGAAATTCATCCATTGCATTGACTTGAGACACTCTTAAGTTTGGTGGATCAACCCAATTTGACTTGAACTTTAATGGCTTGATGGTAGAAGGTTTGGTTGGAGTAATAACTCGATTATCCAAGTGAAGGGACAACTTCTTGGGCTTGTAAGAATATGAATCGTCCTTAGTCATCATGGATTTGTTGTGACCTTCCATGGCCTCATTGTTCGAAATAAAGACCACCGCTTGTAGAGCTTATTCAATGTAAATATCTTCCATGTCATCGTCTACCACATCGTCCACCACATCAACTACGTACATCACACCATAGTCATGTGGTTGTTTTATTGACTTTTGTATATTAAAAATTGCCTCTTCATCCTTCAATCTAAATTTAAGCTCTCCCACTTCAGCATCACAAATAGCTCGCCCGGTAGCCAAGAAAGACCTGCCAAGGATGATTGAAATTTCTACATCCACTTCACAATCCAATATTAAAAATTCAGCGGGGAAATAGAAATGATCCATTTTGACAATGACATCATCGATGACACCCAATGGTTTCTTCAACATTCGATCCGCCATTAACAACTTTATTGTGATAGGTTTAGGAGCCCCCAAACCTAACCTTTTGAATATGACATATGACATCAAATTGATACTAGCCCCCAAATCACACAAAGCTTTTGTGAAGCTTGTCAACCCAATAGCACAAGGTATAGTATAAGCCCCCGGGTTTTCCATCTTTTTAACCCCGGTTTGTGACCTTGATGGTCTCAAAATTATCATTCTTCTTCTTAGTGATCAAGTCCTTCATGAATTTTGCATAACTCAACATCTTTTCAAGAGCTTCTAAAAAAGGAACATTAATGGTAATTTTATTCAAAATATAATAGAACTTTTGTATTTGACCTTATTGTTGTTGCTTTGCAAATCAATATGAAAATGGAGGAGGCGGTCTCGGTAATTTCTTGTACACTCTAGGTACTTCCTTGCTTTCATTATTGATTGGTTCTTTCTCCTTTTGAGGGACCTCTTTTGAATTTTGATAAATTCTTGGTACTTGGTGGACCTTTTCAACAACAATTGGACTTACTATTGGCACCTCGTACTTGGGAACTTCAATCACCTCGGGTGTCTCATTGACCAAAAGAGGTACATCTTGATTAGGAACTTCATACATTTTAGGAGGATCATCAACCTTGGGAATAGAAAACTTAAGAACTTTGGGACTCTTGACCTTAGAAAAAGTATATTTGAGAGGCAACTCCTCTTCATTATCATCATCCTCTACTACAATGGATCTCTTCTATAGAATTTTGCTCTGCCTCGTGGAAATGGCAAACCCACATTTTATTCCCTCATCTCTTTTTGGATGAATTGTATTACTAGGCAATGATCATTGTGGTCTCACTTTCAATTGAGAAGATATTTGACCCAATTGAGTCTAAATTTGCTTGATTGAAGTGGTATGAGAAACCACCACTTGATTCATTTCTCGCCTCTCTTTTTCAGATTGCTATTGATTCTTGATCATTCTTTCCATCATTCCTAAAAGCTAGTTTTCACTTGAAGAGTCACCTAGGTTGTTGTATATAGGAGGTTGGTAGGATATTTATTGATATTGTTGGGAAGATCCACCACCTCGATTACCTTGATTACCGCCACTCCAACCTTGGTTTCCTTGATTGTTGTCCTCCCAATTTACTTGATTGTTATTGTCCCAATTTCCTTGGTTATTAATCGGCCTCCATTGTCCTTGGATAGATCCTTGAAAGTTACCTCGTTGATTTTTATAGTTGCTCACAAATTGAACTTCCTTATTTTGCTATTGAAAAGAATCATCTTGAGTGTAACGTCCATCATCTTGTGAATACATCTCTGGTTGACGTTGATTACCCTTCATCTTTTTCTTAGAACCCAAGACATGAACACCTTCTACGACATGTACTTGCCGAGTTGCTTGACTTTATTGAAGTTGCACTTTTGCAAGTTGATTCATAGTGGTGGTCAACTCGGCAATGGCTTAACCATGATCTTGCAACTCCTTGTTTAAGAATTATATTCGGATCCCCTTGAGGCACATTTGCTCGGGAGTGCCAAGCTAAGATTTCTCTACCATCTTATCAAGCATGGCACAAGCCTCCAGGTAAGGCGTGGTCATGAAGTTTCCACCGGCAAGTTGGTTCACTACATATTAATTGGTTGTTTTAATCCCACGATAGAAGGTTTGTTGCAACATGTTCTCGATCATATCATTTTTAGGACATTCCTTAACCATGGTTCTATAGAGTTCCCAATTTTCGTGTAGTAGCTCATTCAGTTCTTGCTTGAATGCCAAGATTTCATCCCTCAAACTAGCTGTGAGCCCAAATGAGAAGAATTTGGCAATAAACTTCTCTACTAACTCATCCCAAGTATGTATAGAATGGTTTGATAAGCGCTCCAACCAATCCAAGGCTTTTCCTCCTAGTGAGAAAGGAAATAACCTTAATTTCAAAGCGTCCTCAGACATATTTTAAGTGCTTGTATGCATTTTGATGAGGTGCTCCGGTGAAGTAGTCTCTTTGCTCAAGCAAGGTGAGCATGACATTTATAATTTGAAAATTTTCTACCCTAATGCAAGGGGGGATTATTGTACTTGCATATCCATCATTTAGTGCGGCATGTTGTTGAACCGGTTGGCCATGTAGATGTGGTGGTGGTGGAGGCAACAGAGGTTGGTGTTGGTTATTTCCTCGACCACGTCGGTTTCCTTAAATCGGAGCTGCTTCTTCTTCTACCATATCTTTATCAATGGCCCCAAGAGGCAAATCACCAATGTCATTGTTTTTCGCCATTGGTAACCTACAACAAGCACACACAAAACAAAGTATAACGAAGAAAAAATAAGAACTAAAGAAAACACACAATAACAATGTAACACAAGAACATTGTACTCCCGGCAGCGGCGCCAAAACTTGGTGACGTATAATCCTACTATTTATATGAAGGTAGCATGGTTGTTAGCAATAATAAACCCAACAAAGGTTGGGGTCGAATCCCACAAGGAGTATGTGTGTGTTTGAGTGTCCAAATTTGCGCAAACTCGATGATTCTTAATGTAATCATCAAACAATGCGTGGTTATACAATTATTTCTACAATTACTACTAAAGTTTAACTAAGGTATTTTATCAAACACGTAGAGTGAAAATAAAACTTAGTTGTAACAAATAAGAGAAAGGTGCTAAGATTGCTTCCCCTTTGTGTAGGCTATGCTTTTCGGTATACAAATATTCAATTCTAGTTAATAAAGCATATGTTATGACCTCACTTTCTATTCTACCAACTTAATGTCTTCTAACAATTAAGAGGTTTCTACCCCAATTTGCTCTTCCAAGACGACTAAGGAATGATGATAAGAAATTGATTAGCCCAAGTAGAAATCACACTATTCCTGTCACGACGCTAAATTCGGACTCGGTCGTGATGACGCCTCTCGTGAAGACAAGGCCAACGGACACAACTTCCAATTCATTTTATCAATTTTAATAACACAATTTAAGTCATTAACATGCTAATAATCCCAAAATAAAAGTGAAATAGTACAATTTACGGAAAAACCAACGTAGCCCGACATCGGGGTGTCACCAGCCTAGAACATCTAAACATGTGTCTAAAAGTCTGAAAGAGTTATACAGTCTATTACAGAATTAGAAACAGAAGGTAAGATAGGAGGGAGAAACACTGGGCTGCGAACACCGAGCATCTACCTAGTTGTTTACCGTGAAAATGGTAATGACAATTAAATTTGTAAATGGGACTCTAAAAATAGGTGATCCATTTTTATGCTAGTTGTTAGAGTAGTTGATGCTAGGCATACATAGATGAGAGATGAAATGCGAGCTAACAATAGAGTTATAATCAAACCGAGAGATCAGTTATTTTGGGATTGAACTGGCTGATGGGGGGCCTCGAGGTTGATGCCTGGGCTCGAGATCGAGCTATTGGGGAAAAAAGGAAGGGAATAACAATTAGGATATAATTAGGGAAGGCTCTTTATGGTCAATATCAAGCAATAAATGAATAACAAGTATGAAAGCAATAAATGAAAAGTAGTCTCGTGCGTGCCAGTTAGAGAGAAAAAAGAGAGAGAGTTTTTATTGATATTATGTAGAATAGTTGGAGTCACTTACTTAAAGAGTGTCAATGATTCCCCTTTTTATAAGAGGGGGGAATCCAAACTTAGTACAAGATACGTTGAGCGGTAGAGGAAGCAGGATGGGACAGCTAATTACCTTCATGACGTATACGTAGACCAATGTTAGGTTTCTCAGGTAGACTTAATCAGCTCCGGATGAATTCTTCGGAAGCCTTCCATGGTCGTCGGGGTCTCAGACAACATTATCCCCAGGCCGGGTATCGACAGATCTTGAGGGAAGTACCCGGCTCGAGGTCTCGAGCCTCCGATGCGACCTCCTAAAGCATTTTGTCAATGGGAAATTGGTCCCCCTCCCCGATTTTACCGTACATACTAGTGGACTCTGAATAGCCTGCTAAGATCAATCAACCCTCACTGGCGGGACATGAAGCTCCTGAATTTGCACACAAGGTGCAGGGAGTATAGTGAGTACTCCAACTCAGTGAGTAATAATAATAAATGAAGACTGAGCGATAAGAAATCACGTAAAACACAACAACATGTTATAAAGAGGTAGTGTAAAACCAAATAATACAATAAAACAGTAAAATCTTGTAAAAACACCTTAGTTCAGTATAAGCTTCTTTAAAATATCTTTTTAACAATTAAGCAAATAAATGAGAAGTAGCTAGAAAGATAAACACATAAAATTCGCCCCTCGGGCACAATATCAACAGAATCAGCCCCTTGGCCAATAACATGGAACCACACCAGCCCCTCAGGCTATATCACATATCACACGGAGTACACGCGCTCACTGGGGGTGTACAGACTCCGGGAGGGGCCCCTTACGGCCCAAGCGCAATATCAAGCCATATCATGGCATAATCAAATAGGCTCTTGGCCTCATATCAACCCACCTCATGGCGTACAATTAGGGAAGGCTCTTTATGGTCAATATCAAGTAATAAATGAAGAACAAGTATGAAAGCAATAAATGAAAGGTAGTCTAGTGCATGCGAGTTAGAGAGAAAAGAGAGAGAGAGAGAGAGAGAGAGAGAGAGTTGTTATTGATATTATGTAGAATAGTTGGAGTCACTTGCTTACAGAGTATCAATGATTCCCCTTTTATAAGAGGGGGAAATCTAAACTTAGTACAAGATATGTTGAGCGGTAGAGGAAGCAGGATGGGATAGCTAATTAGCTTCGTGACGTATACATAGACCAATGTTAGGCTGCCCAGGTAGACTTAATCGGCTCTGAATGCATTCTTCGGAAGCCTCCCATGCTCGTCGGGGTCTCCGCCAACATTATCCCCAGGCCGGGTGTCGACAAATCTTGAGGGAAGTACCCAGCTCGAGGTCTCGAGCCTTCGTGGTGACCTCCTGAAGCATTTTCTCAATGGGAAATTGGTCCCCCCCTATTTCACCGTATACCGATAGTCTCCGCGTTTCTTAGAGAGAAATGATAAGAAATGATTTTGACATCCCACTCTATGGGCTACCATAATGACGTTGTGCTGATGACGTAACCCTTCATGAGTGCCAAAACGTTTCACCGTTTTGCTTTTTCAGGGCTATTCGACGTGTTGTGATTTCTTGTTATTCAGGGTCATAATGTTG